AAAAAAAAAAAAACTATAAATTAGAATTGTGTGCAATATATCCTCGAGACGTCACGGTTTCTCAAATTTCTAAAATGTAATGATATTTACTAGTGAGCTGTAAACAAACAGGCAACCGCAGATCGCAACAATCTCTAGTATTTTGACGCTAAAGACTCAACTTATCGCTTTTTCCTGTTTACGATATTTTTTCTCTTCGCCCATTATACATATGATCAATCGAAGTCGATTGATCTAGCGAGAGTTCTCTTCCGGGGTAACGGCCGCCTCGGCCGTTGGGAACGTGAATGCTGGCCTTGACATTCGTCGGCTCCTGAACGGAGGAGATTCTTACGGGTTTATTGATGGTAATAAATTAGTACCTGTTCCCCATGCGGTTAAATTGAGCAGTTTATGATCTTACGTCGAGTATTCCGATACACGTAGCACAATGACGTTTCCTTTCCTCATGTCAATGATATTTGCAATAATACAGAAATGATTTTCAATATAATAAGGGAGCTTTATACACGCTCTTTCGCAAATTTGTTTAATTTGATCAAATAATTGAAACATTACAAGTTAATTTTGCAAACTGAATACTCGATAATAAATCAAAATAAATCGGTGAACAAATCAAAATAATCCTGACTGAAAACTCGAAAATTCTTCCTTTACTAAAATTCAATCATATGACACTGTCATTTCTCAATAATTTTTCGCAATTTTATTAACAAACAATATTATATTTCAAATATGTGAGATTTTATTAGAAACGCAATGATAAATTAATTAATATCGGAAATGTAGCTGGGTGCAAAAAGGATTAATGAGATGCGGGCGATGATGTTGGCCTTGACCGACCAGGAAGGTGGAGTAGGGATGAACGAGTCCCCCGATCGTCTGGGTCAGGCAGTATTTCAGAGACTTCCTTGCTCAAGTTTTAAGCGACAACAAACACCGCAATATATTTTGCGTTCGCGATCTTTCGCGATCTTTTCTTTTACTGTTTTTTTTTGCACACACCGCATTGTAATTTTAATTGTTATTAACTTTCTGTACACTGCCTGACCCCGGGCCGAAAAAACGATCTCTCTGAATGTTGCCCACAACTTGTAAATAATTGTAATATGTAAGTGTAAATTGTGATTTGTCTAATTGAATTTTATATTCAATTAATATATAAGTATTATTTGAGCCATAATAAGTATTATTTAAGTATATTATTTTACAAAACTTCACACACAAGTGCGATTGCTATAAAATATTTAATAAATTACCATTAATTATTATACTTAATTTATAATTAATTTTGCTTTATATATTTTTAATAAGTTATCCTTGACAAAGTATGCAAAAATGAATGTGGCACATTTTTCTTTCAATAAAAAGAGATCTATTAAGGAGTAAATTTAGTAGG